CACACACACACACACACACACACACACACACACACACCCAGAAAAACAAGAGTTACCCTTTTCATTCTCTAGAAGAACCCTGTATTCCCATCCAGAGCATCCCTGCACCACCCCCCTCCCATGGAACAGATGCTCCCTGGGGCTTAGCAAAGTGGGAGCACCAATGAATATCTCCCAAATGGATGGAAAAAAATGAGCAAATCAAGGTGATTTGATTATGAATGAACATAAAAGCAAAAGGAGGTAGATTAAACTTAAGGGGACATTTATACACGGGGTTCTATAAGAGTCAGCTTCCAGAAAGGATTGTAGAGGAGGATGAGTGCAGTTTTCCTATTAGCTAAAGAAAACTTCAACATACAACACTAAACACAAGAGGATTAATAACCGGAAAAGTAGATTACTGTAAAACTCTATTATGAAACTTGATTATGACTGCATCATTAAGAACTGTTGTTTCAAATTCATTCAGCTGAAGGTCACACTCCAGGATACAGTTGATTCTAAGCTTTCCTGAGGTGGAATCCCCTGCAGGTTCCCAAGGGAAATCTGCCTCTAATAAAACAGGTGATTAACAAGCACAAGGAAAAACACCTGAGAGATGCCTGACCTGTCAGAACTACGCAAATTACATGCAAACTCCATATTAGAACAGGAGAAAAACTGGCCTGGAAAGCCCAAGGACTATCATTCAGGGGGTACAGAGAAAAATTCCCCCACTTCCTCTCATGAGGACTTGGCAGGCATGAACAGCCCCAAGTTACTGGTAATTGCTATGGTCATGCTTCAGCTAAAGGCTGCTCTTTGGCAGTGACTTTTCTCCATTCCTTAAAAACAGGGCAGTCCTTTCTCAAGAGCAATAAGCCATTCTCCTATGCGGAAGGCATAACCACACTGAAAGAGGTCAAATAAAGACCTAGCCATACCACACCCTGGAAAGGTAGAATGCCCTCAGACGTAAAGGAAAGAGAAGAGTCAGGTCATTTTTGGGAAGAGGTCAATACCATGGAACACTTTTGCAATAAAACCTGGTCATCTGATCATCTACACTTGGAGATACAATTGGGAGAAACATTTGGTGGTTACTTTCTGTTAAAAACTAGCAAAATGGGGTGCCTGGTGGCTGAGTCAGTTGAGCTTCTGACTTTGATTTTGGCTCAGGTCATGATCCCAGGGTCATGGGATCGAGCCCTATGTCAGGCTTCAGGCTAACTGTGCAGCCTGCTTAAGATTCTCTATCTCTCTCCCTCCGCCCCTCTCTCCCCTATTGCACTCTCTCTCTCTTAAACAACAACAACAACAACAACAACAACAACAACAAAGCTAGCAAAATAATGTGTTATTAGCAAACCTTGGAGTGGTGGGTATGCTCTCCGTCTTGAAAATTAATAGTGCCAAACGTATCTGTAGGGCTTTTCGTTGTGTGCTTTTCAACAGACCATTGCTCATTTTCATTACCATTGGCAGCTGAGATAGTCCAGGAAAAATCTATCCCATGATGGTCTCCAATTAATCGCCCACAGTAACACCTTAAATATGGGATAAAAACCAGTTTCAGAATAGAAAACTACACAATATCAAAATAGAAAATAGATGTAATGTTTCTACATTTTTCTAGGTAATATATAGATGATACAAATGAACAATTTTTGAAATTCCACATTAATATTTTATATTATATTTATATCATTAGATTGTCTTCTGAGTTTAGAAATACCCTCAGTGGTTCTCTCCCTTGGCTGCACATTAAAATCATTTGGGGAATGTTTTTAAAAAAACACCAAAAATCTTGTGCACACCCATGTTCATTTAAGTATTCCAAATCATTATTCATAATCGCCAAGTGCCCACTGACAGATGAATAGCCAAACCAATGTGGCATATACATACAATGGAATATTATCTAGCCTTAAAAAGGGAAGAATCCTGGATATGCTTCAATATGGTTAAACTTTGAGGATATTATGCTAAGTGAAATAAGCCAGTCATAATACAACTGCTGTATGACTCCACTTCTATGAGGTACGCAGAGTAGTCAAATCCACAGTGACAGAAAATAGAATGAATGGTGGCTGCCAGGGGCTGGGAGGAGTGGCCAATGGGGAATTATTGTTTAGTGGACACAGAGTTTCAGTTTTACAAGATGAAAAAGTTCTGAAGATCTGTTGTACAACATAAATATACTTAACACTACTGAAATTGTTAGGATGGTAAAAAAAAAAATCATATTGTACACCTCAAATATGTGTAGTTTATGTTAATTATACCTCAACAAAGCTGTTAAGAAAAAAATGAGAGTGGAGGGGATAGCTAAATTGGCAAGGGGAATTAAGGAAGACACTTGTTGGGATGAGCACTGGGTGTCACACGTAAGGGATGAATCACTGGACTCTACTCCTGAAATCATTACTGCACTATACGCTAACTAACTTGGATGTAAATTAAAAAAAAAAAAAAAA